TGTTGTTTGGCAGGCCTGGGCTGGATTCGAACCTGCCAGTTCTGGTGTATGTGGCTGGTGCCTTACGTGCTTGAGTTACAGGCACCGAGCCAAAACAGCAATTTTCTTTATTAGCCTAACTCCTACCACTCTAGGAGGCCGAGGTGGGTGGACTGCCTGAGCTTATGGGTTCAAGACCAGAGTGAGACCTTGTCTCTAGAAGACTAGCTAGGTGTTGTGTTGGGCACCTGTAGTCCCAGCTACTGGAAGGCTGAGGCAAGAGAATTGCCTAAGCCCAGGAGCTGGAGGTTCCTGTGAGCTGTGAGGTCACGGTACTCTGCTGGGGGCAACAAAATGGGACTCTATCTCAAAAAAAAAAGGAGCCCTGCTTTTGGAAATAGAAAAAGGAGCATTCTTAACTTCTCTGAATTAATTTTCATTTAGAAAAGATCAGCTTATCTCCCAGTAATTGTTTTAATGCCCTACTGTAGTACTTGTAAGATACTGAATTTTTTGTTATATATTGCTGAACTACACACCTTACTGGATTTATTGCTAATTAGTAAATTTGAATTTTGAACTGCCTTATAAGATTTACTAAATTGAAAGGCATTTTAAAAGTTTTTTTTTTTTTTTCTTTTTGAGACAGAGTCTCACTATGTTGCCCTCAGTAGAGTGCAGTGGCATCTTAGCTCACAGCAACCTCAAACTCTTGGACTTAAGCAATTCTCTTGCCTTAGCCTTCCAAGTAGCTGGGACTACGGGAACCTGCCACAACACCTGGCTATTTTTTGTGGGGTGGGGAGTTGCAATTGTCATTGTTGTTGAGCAGGCCCCGGGCCCAGCTCAAACCTACTAGCCTCGGTGTATGTGGCCAGCTCCCTACTCACTGAGCTATGGGCCCCAAGCCATTTTAAAAGTTTCTATATATTTCCATAGTCATGGTTATCAGATATTCTTTTTGGTCATTTTAAACAGGTTAATCGTAAGATTGAGTTGTGTATCCAGAAGTACTTTTTCTGATAAATATGTTTTAGTGATTTTAGTGTCACCTCCATGAAAACTTCAGTATCTAAAGAATTGTTTTATCAGGGGCACTCATTGCTCAGTGGTCAGGGCGCTGGCCACTTGCACTGGGGCTGGTGGGTTCGAACCTGGCCCGGGCTTGCTAAACAACAAAAAATGTTGGGCACTGTGGCAGGTGGCTGTAGTCCCAGCTACTAGAGAGGCTGAGGCCAGAGAATCGCTTAAGCCTAAGAGTTTGAGGTTGCTGTGAGCTGTGACACCATATAACTCTACCAGTGGTGATACCATATTACTCTACCAGTGAGACTGTCTCAATTTAAAAAAAAAAAGTTGTTTTATAAAAATGGAATATTTTAATAAAAAGAAGGTTTAGCACTTCAGGAAAAGGGGATCATATGCTGCTGTGTTAAATGGAAATACACTTTTACCCTGTTTGGCTTGAGAAACAGACTGCTGATTTCACAATATTTTTCTTTATAGATTGCTCATGCATTGTGCATATTGCTGTATCCAGGCCTTATTCTTATCGACTATGGACATTTTCAGTATCCTTTACTATTCAGAAATGACATCAGTTGCATATTAAGAAATCTAGACTCAATTTATATAATGTGATTTAATAATGTCTTAATTGCTAGAGTGCTTATATAAACAAGTCGTATAAAAGAGTATCAGTGGTGACAAAGAGCAGTATAAAGAATCTCTTCATCAAGTTTTACTTTGAGGAGTGGTGCCTGTGGCTCAGGGAGTAGGGCGCCAGCTCCATATACCAGAGGTGGTGGGTTCAAACCCAGCTGTGGCCAAAAAACTGCAAAAAAAAAAAAAAAAAAGTTTTACTTTGAAGGATAAAGTACAGATTTATTAAAAGGACAATTGCTTTTTTTTTGCAGTTTTTGGCTGGGGCCGTGCTGGAACCCACCACCCCCGGTGTGTGGGGCTGGCTCCTACTCCTTGAGCCCCAGGACGCCCTGTAGTGTTGCTTTTTCACATCTGTTTAACTTGGAAACAAAACGTTGGTAACTGATTAGCTATTTCTGGGGAGCTGAGAAAGTGCTAAGTGTGGTTATGCTCTGCTAATTCTAAAAAGGTATAACGTGTTATAAATGTTACCTGACACTGAAAAAAAAAAGAAAGCAAACTGTTCCATAGTTTTTTGTGTTTTAAAACAAAGTATTTCTCTAACAGATACTAGTAGCTTGAAGGTTCAGGAAACTGGAAATGAATTATTAGAGCCTATATGGCTTTTATATTTTTTGATACCTCAAACATTCAAGCAAACAAATTTTAGAGAATTAATTGACTAAAAAATCTGTCCATGTCTTATCCAGTATTTCTTCTGATGTGCCAGGTGTCCTCATCTCTCCTAAGGGGAAGAAAGACGTAACACTTAGCAACATGGTTGCTTAGCTAACAGCTTTGCCTTTCGATGCCGTTGTGTTTTAGTTATAATAAAATCAGTACGTGCATGTATCTGCCATAATGTGGATGGAGGGGAGTTGCATTGCAGGCTAACTTGTCCCAGATAGTTTATTTTCTTTGGAATGTGCCTTCTTTTATTGTATGGGGGTAGATGTTTGGCTGCCTGATAATCTTTGCACAAGAGAGGGGTGAGATTTGACTTCTCTAGCTGGGGGTTTTAAGTTAATCTCTTTTTCTTCCTATTCACGTGATACTGAAACCCTCCCACCTGCTGGCATCTCTGCGGTTCTGTGGGGTCTTGCGGGGTTCTGTGGGGTCTTGTGGGGCGGTGCCTGGCTTCTCTGAATTTACACTGTGCATTTCCAGGCTGGGCCTTCTCTATTTTGTTATCACTTCTGTCTTCCAGAAATAGGTTGAAATCTTTATGATAACCTATGCTCTCACCGTCTTTATGGCTACAAATTTACTCTGCTAAAATTCCTTTTTCTTACCATTTTAAGGGGTTAGGGAGAGGAGAGGAGGTAAACATGAGTGCTTATGATGTCATTTTAATTAAGAGTTATTAGTTGCAAATCAAGGACATATAAATTTATATTGATGTATATTATAGAGGAAGTATAGCATCCCAGTAAATTAAAAACAACTGTCGTAGCACCGTTTTATTCTTTGGATTTTGGCTGTCACAGTAACACTGAAGTAACTGAACAGAAACAAAGCTGCCTTCTAACTGTTTAGCGACCCTTTGAACCTAAACCAATCAGCTCAAACACACGGGAGGCTGTGACGTCAGATTTCATGTTTGTTTACCATTGCAGTACTTCCAGTTTTTATTTGGAAATAGCTTTCATTGTTTACATCATCTTAAAATCACATACAAAATATGCTGTATAAAATGCAAGGTCTTCCTCTTTTAATTGTCGAGACCATTTCCTTGACGCAGGAACATGTACAATTCTGTGAGCCTTGGCTTCGCTCTGTGGGGTGTTCTTGGAGTGTCTTGCGACTGGGACCTGCTAGGCTCCCTGGCATTTTGCTTAGCCATCAATTACAAACAGATGGAACTCTATCACTCTTTGCCATTTTTTTGCTTTTTACTTGGCAAGTGTTTTAAAAAAGACCTCAGAGGAAAGGGGTGAGTGACTTTTAATCATCATAATTCAAAAATTTACTGTAGCGACTTTTTGGCACACTTACACTTACTTAGAGGAAGCTGAACTTCCACTGTGCCTTTTGGTGACTTCTTATAAATGTGTTGGCCATGGGTGAGTGGGAAGCGAGAGATTAAGTCATAGTCTGTATTCTTTTATTGCCCATTTTCCTAACTAGAGAAATGTTTTGATCAGTTTTCACTTCCTGGAGGTAATGGGTTGCTGGAGCACTGCTGCAGGACCTCATCACTGTCGGGCTCATTCCATCATAGACTTCTTGGAAAGACATGCCATTTGATATTTTTCTTCATAACCCTTAGGAATGACTACTTGTTAATTGGGATGATGATAGCAGTCTTTCTGAGGAAGTGCACATCCTAACAGTTGTGAGTTTAACTCTGGTTTGAGTAGACTCCCGACTCCCATCTTAACCTGTACTGATAATATAGATTCAGCATTATTAAACATTGGCATTCAGTGTTACAATGAGACTCAGATTGGTTTGTCTGAACCATTAACTTTTCCCTGTCTTACCACCTGCGTTTTTTTGTTCTAGGTCTGTATTGCTAATTAAGCTAGTTTGTACAGTTGTGGCTTCCTTCATTCTCTGCTGGCTGCCGTTCTTTACAGAAAGGGAACAAACCTTGCAGGTTCTGAGAAGACTTTTCCCAGTTGATCGTGGATTATTTGAGGCATGTTTAAAAGGTTTCCCTCTCCTTTCCATTACTATACCTTCCCTGTGACCTTTAGGGATTTCCTGTAGAAGACACACGGGAGGCCAGGCCTGGTGCCCCAGGCCGATAATCCCAGTGCTTTGGGATGCTGAGGCGAGAGGGTTGCTTGAGGCCAGGAGTTCAAGACCAGCCTGGGAAAAATAGTGAGACCCTGTTTCTAAAAATAAAAATTAAAAAATCAGTCAGGTATGGTGGTGCATGCCTACAGTCTCTGAAACTCAGGAGGCTGAGGTGGGAGGGTCATTTGAGCCCAGAATTAGGGGCTGCAGTGAGCTGTGATGATGCCAGTGCACTCCAGCCTGGATGACAGAGTGAGACCATCTCAAGGAGACACACAAGGAACATGAACTTCGGCCACTTTCCTCCTGTCATCATTATCTATGTATTTATTTCAAAGGCAGGGTCTTGCCATGTTGCCCAGGCTGTACTTGCACTACAGCCTTGAACTCCTGGGCTCAAGAAATTCTCCTGCCTCAGCCTCCTGAGGAGCTAGGACGGCAGGCACAGGCACCTTGCTGTTTGATCTAGCAGACAACCCCTAGCTCAGCTGGCATTCTCTAGTACATGACATCAAATAGGAAATATTTATGCTGTCACCAGATCCATAATTCAGTTAGACATTTTCCTAATGAAATAAGGTCCATATCGAAACACAGAATAAGAAGTTGCAGCTACGGTATTAACAGCTCTGTGATTTTTTGGTTTATATGGTGTTTGCTTCAGAAAGATCTCATAATTCCTTATGAGATACTAACCTTCATCCATAGTAATTTTTAATGAGAATCTTTCATTTAATGCCAGTTTAATCATTCTTGTTAAACTTTAATTACACGAATAATTTGATCACTTAGATTTAGTAATTAAATTAAACAAACCGTTTTTCTGAAACAAAAAGGCCTTAATAAAGTTAGAGACAACATATTTATGGATAATTTGCTTTTGAATAACATTTCTTTTAAAAAGAATTAGAAAAGTATGCATATCTTTCTAATTTTGAATATAGAAGTTTTTAAAGACTATCTTTCAGTGCATTATAGAGGATGAAACAAGCATTTCAGAGACTAAAAAAGAGTTGGTGTTGTGAGGGAATGGGAGTGTCTGCTACTAACAGATAATCGCCTCCTGTTACCACCACTGCGTATTAGACGCAGACATGTCCATGTGATTTTATTGGATCCTTACAGTAGCTCTGAGGTAGCTGCTGTCCCCACTTTACAGACACGAAATCTGAGGTCAGAGAGTCATGCACCTAGTACCTGGCGGTGCTGTGACTTGAACTTTGGAAACTGCGCTCCTGACCTTGAACTTTGGAAGCTGCACTCCTGACCTCTTCGCCACACAGTTGTCACCTGTCACCAGCCCCAGTCCAAAGAGCTGCCTGGTTGTCTTCACCTTCCATTTCGGAAGTGGTGTTTATCATGATTAGGAAAATCAGCCCCAGACAGTCTGGATGGTTTTTCAGTTTCTTCCACTTGCTTGTTGCGCTCAGAATCTGAATAGCATTCTCCTTGATTCAGCCGAGGAGAGGGACGGAGAGGGACTGGGCAGCTCACTCCCCGCTGTTAGGCCTTCACAGCTGTGCACCGAGCACCCACATGGAGGATGGTTTGACCAGCAGGAGCTCTGCACGTGCAGTTGACTCTGGAAGTGACCCTGGCGTAGCTGCTGATGTCTTTAAACATCTTGATTTCTTAGCAGTTACTTCTTGTCTTTGCTACGAGCTTTTAGGTTACTCTAAATTCAGGTGTGTGATAAAAATGGGTCAAATGTAATATATATTTTATAAATTATGGAAAAAAAGTTTTCTTAGAAAATTTTCCAAAGATAAGTAACTTTAGTTATTTAGGAATGATGTACTGCTCTTTGAAAAATATAAAGTGTTTCTTGGGAATGTCTCGGTTATGGCCAATGATTTAGATAAGCTTGCATGCCAAAAAAAAAGAAGGAAAAATGCTTGAGAGTATGCTTGTGTGTATGTTTATTTCTTGGAGGATTGAATCTACTTTTTATAATTGTGAATAAAAGTTTTATATATCTCAGAGGTTTATTAGAGATTAAGGGCCATACTTGGTGGGTTTTAATATTTCTTTTACTAGAATGTAAAAGTGACAAATCTCTTTTAAGGATAAAGTCGCCAATATTTGGTGTAGCCTCAGCGTCTTTCTGAAGATTAAGAATATTTTGCCACATCACATCCAGATAATGCTCAGGTAAGAGACACAATGCTGTATATTGTATTTTATAAGCTGCTCTCTGGAAGTGGTAATATTTCATTTATCTCGCATCATCAGGGAATTAAACAGACGTACAATAAAACTCTTTTCTTTGAATGATTTTATATGAAAGTTTTTCTGAGTTTTTCTCTCCCTAAATGGAGAGTACACGCCTCATGATCGAACACTGTTAACATCATCTTGGAGAGTCCTGACTTTCAGTGGAGTTGTTAGTCCAGGTGCATCAGAGACGTTGACACTGTGTGTGTGTCTGAGTATGAATGTATAAGGAATTGGCTTATGCAAATATGGGAGCTGGCCAGGTCAACTAGAAGTCCACAGACCTACAGGAAGGGTATCTAAGGTGGAAAGAGGAATTCAGACCCAGATGCCTTTAAGGGAGACCTAAGCCCTCTTTTTAAAAGGCTTCCAGCTGATTAAGTTGGGCTCCTCAGGACAGTCTACCTTCTTTTTCAGGAGACAGAGTCTTACTTTGTCACTCTTAGTAGAGTGCCATGGCATCATACCTCACAGCAGTCTTGATGCTTAAGTGATCCTCTTGTCTCACCGTCCCTAGTAGCTGGGACTACAGGCACCCAGCACAATGTCCAGCTATTTTTAGAGATGGGTCTCGCTCTTGCTCCGGCTGGTCTTGAACTCCGAGCTCAGGTGATCCACCTGCGTTGGGCTCCCAGAGTGCTGGGATTACAGGTGTGAGCCCCTGCACCCTGCCTGGCAATGTACCTTCTGATTAACTTAAAATCAACTAAATGGGGACTTTACATTTGCAAAGTCCTTCACTGCAGCATCCAGTGTTAGATAAGTGAGAGGTGGTGCTGTCTCCCTTAGTCCTCCTTCTGGGAGAATGTGTCCCTTGTAGTCCACTCTAACCAGAAGCATACGGAAAGGGAAGGAATTCTTGGGACTTTAGTTCAGCCTAGCCAACTCGACAAGTCATAAAGTTACCACGACTGAAAGATCAGTTCTTGTATTAGCTTATTTACTTGTTCTCAGGGCTCTCAAGGGCTGTTTGCTATGATGCGAATGGCTCCAGAGCCCTCTTGAGCCTGCCTGTGTTATCTAGGTTTTTTCCCTCATGTCCTATCAGCCATCATTAGGAGAAGCTCTAGCAGCTTCCTGCTCCTTTTCCAACTTATTCTTTCTGATTTATCATGAATTTAAAAATCAGATCATTAAGCCAGGTACAGTGGCTCACGCCTGTAATCTCAACTACTTGGGAGGCTGAGGCAAGAGGATCACTCGAGCCTGTTTGAGGTTGCTATGAGCTAGGATGATGCCACAGCACGCTAGCTAGGACAACAGAGTGACTCTGTCTCAAAAACAATCAGATAATCAGATTTGTGAAATGAAGGCTAGCTTAGACTCTTTTGTGAGTAAAGTTTGTGAATGTTTATGTTACAGATACAACATTGTCTCATGCTCCGTGAACATGAGTGTTTGATGATTAACCTTCAACTGTACACCATGTCTTCTCTATACATGATGTTAAATACTAAAATAACAGAAGCAATATTTAGCATTATGATGTTTTGTTCTATATCATGTAATCACATATTAAAAGTGTATTTCAGTGTATAGATTTTATACAAATGTTATTTGGTCTTAAATTTAATAAATAAAAGTAAACTTTAATTTGAAATCAAACTAAATAAATAATGTGATCCTTATATTTAAAGAAATGTTTTAGTTAATACAGTAGAACCTCCATATTTGACCACCTCCTTAAGTTGACCTGATTTTCGTAGACTGGACATGTAGCACATGTGCATCTCAGTACAGCAGGCCTGGCTCCTTATATTGACCATCTCTGTATGTGGACCAGGTTGTCACAGTCCTGTAGGTGGTCAACTTATAGAAGTTCTACTCTATTTATATATCTACAAAGAAAATAATTTTATTATTATTATTTTTTAGCTTTTGTTTTACATTTTTGAGTCTCCTTCCTGCATGCGTAAAATTAACACTTCAGCCCTCTACCAAAGGATTCAAACTTACTCTGGTAAGATTTCTTTACTTTAAATATTTAATTCTTGTTACAACTGGTCCTTTAAAAATTTTCTTGTTCTGTACAGGATAATTGATCGGGAAATAAGACATTCATTTATTTGACAAACATTTATTGAATGCTTCCCAGACATTTTTTTTTCCTTGCAGTTTTTGGCTGGGGCTGGCTTTGAACCCACCACCTCCGGCATATGGGGCCAGCGCCCCACTCCTTTGAGCCATAGGCGCTGCCCTGCCTCCCAGACTTTTATGTGTTTGTTCAGCATCAGAGAGAGATTGTGAGAGATGAGGGTCAAAAAGGACCAGACTGTAGAAGACCCTGAAGGTCTGGCTGGAAAGGTTTGGAGTTTGATTTGTGTGCAGGAGGGGCCTCAATAGATTTCTGAGAAAGGGAGCAGGCAGATGTGTTTTAGGAAGATGACTTATGTCAGTTTGAAGATGGATTGCGTATATTTTCTATAGTTTAGGGTTTTTCTGAGTGGGTTTACAAATACCTCCTGGTTGTATTTCTATGGTGTTTAAAGTTTTATTGCTGTGTGCTATGGTCTGTAAAATGACATTTAAAAAATACTTTCAAAAACATGAAGAA